GATCTTCTTTCCTTACTTTAAGGGAAGCCATTTATTTACATTTTTAATGAGAAACTATGAGCTTGCAGAAGCCCAAGCTACTCTTTGATTGTTTACCAGTGCCATAAAATCAGCTCATAGGTCTTTAATATGATGAAAAATATTTCCTTCAGTGTGATAAAATTGGTGCTTGTTTTGCTTAGGTAGCAAATATTATAGGAAAACAGATAATTTCTCTTCCCTAGAGTTTTTGTTATAAGACATTACCCAAACCTTCTTCCTTTGATGCATTTCTAATACTTATATTCAGCATCTTCATGTACTTTGAGATGTTTTCCCTGTTTACCCAGAGGAGAAAACACAAAACTTCTGTTGCAAATTTAAAAAGCTCTTTGTTGATTGAAAATTATCTTCCCATCTTCTGATATATACTTTGAGCTGTGCATATACACATTTAGATAATTTCACAGGATGAAAGCTGTGAATCATCATCAAGGATATTAACTTCGAAAATATCAGAACATTTAAACAAAAGATTTTCCCGAGTAAATGTACCAGGTGCTATAAAAGAAAGCAAGGGATTTTTTTTCAGATAAAGTATTGCAGAAAGTCATGAACAATGATCCTTCATTGCTGGAGATGCTGATTCTAATATACAGTCTGCAGTTCTGTCTGTAAGTATTAGCTACACTAAAGAAGGAATTACCCAGTATGTTTTCAAGCATGATTCCACAGGCTGTGTCTTCATCTGTAAGCACAGTGTAAGTTCTTTTGCAACTGTGAAAATCTTTTTTTTAAGAATATGAAATTTGTTTTCTGTCCAGCTTTACTGGGGACTTGGAGGTGTCCAGTTCATGTCTTCTTCTTCAGTTTCTGTGTTTGGCCATTACTAGCAAAATCTGCTATCATAAAGGAGCATGTGGTCTTCTGTCAGAGCTACAGTGAGCAAAGACTGGAAGTTTGGTTTGGTACTATCAGTTCTTGAAAAATGTCTGAAAAGAGATAACTTCACTTTCATCCAGGGGAGAATAATGATCTTATAGATTGTTACAGATCCACTCCACAACTGTGATGTTGCAGAAGTACAGAAGAAAAGGCATGCTGGTTTTATTCATCTTTGTTAAAGGTTCTGCATACCGGAAGAAAATAGAATGAAAAGAAGTCCTGTTCACAGGAAAAAGAAACTGTCAAAATTGTTGGAAAATGGTTTAGCAGGGCAAGCATGAAAAACGAACTTAGTTTGGGACTTTGATGGTGTGAAGGAATGACTTTCACTTCCTAAGAAGTATCAGTTCTGTGGCCTTAGTCTCACTTGGAGAAAGGGGTAATCAATAAATAAGTAACAAGACTGAGGCAGAACATGATGAAAGATAGTAACTAGAAAATTATATACTAAGAGACTGACCTATGTTCAGTGTAACTCATCTGAAATCAGAAAGGCAAATGATCTGAATGATTTAGACTTGCAAAATGTCACAGGAAGTCTGGCTTTGATATATTTACATGTACAAACCACAACTAAAACCAAGTAAGACTTGTATAGACCATGGAAAAGCTTTGGAAAACCTAGGCTGAGGACATACATTAATTAGTAAAGGGAAAAGATGTATATATTTCTAATCCAGCTCAAGAAGTATTAAAATAAACCTCTTCCAATTACATTTGATAGACCATATAATCACAGAATAATACAGGTTGGAAGGAACTCTGGACTGCACCCTTCAAGCAGGGTGGTACAGATACCTTGCATGTGCTGTCTTTAAAATTGTGCTGGCAAGAGCTCTGGGTTGTCTCCCAGCCAAAGAAAGTTTGAATTGCAGGAACAAAGCAAAAGCTTACTGAGACATTGTCTCTTTCTCTCAAATTGCCAGCTGAGCTCTAGTTATCAGATCAGCTCTCTGTCTTTGGTACCTGTTGCAGCAGTAGTCCATGGTTACTCAATAACTTTTGAAAATCACAATGAAGACACACCTTCATTCAGGAAAGGCAAGACCATTCATGATGTCAAGAATGGGCGCATATATCAGTACTCTATTTTCCTGCAAAGACAGCAGTGGCACAAGTAGACAGTGCCTTGAATTACTGAACTTTAGCCTTCATTTTAAGAGTTTTTACTACATGTTTTTATATCACTTCTTTTACTACAATTTAAGATGAAGTTAATCCCTATCTAAGTATGGTTTCTTTTTAAAAAGTAATTTTAAAAATCCTTGGTAACTTTCAAGCAATTAATTTTTTTATGTGAATATCATTACAGATTTGAGCCACATTATTGAATGTTCTGAAATGGTAGTTGCACTCGCATTTTCAAATGAAAAAGTATTGAAGATGCATCATTTGCCCATCTGACTGTGTGAAAACCATTTGCAGCCTAAGATACACTTAGGATTTTGGAATAAATTTTTAAAGCCAGGAAACTCTAACTATTTTGAAGTCTTCTCAGTTAAATTTTCCTAGTCATATAGAAGATGACACAAAAATTACATTTAGCTGTTTCCTAAAGATAAAACTTGTAATGTTATAATGCATTAGTCTTGAAATTCCCTCAAGTAATTTACTGAAATTGTAATGTACAAGAACCTGAAGACTAAGTTATAAATCTTTTTCAGGAAGGAATTTTCGCGGCATAGAGTAGGCTGGGATTTATTTTTGTTCATTTGTCTTGAATGGTTGAATGCTCCTACGTGGCAAAGAAAAGTTTAGAGTGTTTGGTGAGCAGCTAAACAAACCCACTTTGGAGTACTCACCTAATATGCTCTAAAACTGCACTTACAAAGCCAGTCTGAATTTTACTGTGCATCTGTTTCCAGCTGATCCCTCCACTGACTCTCAAGTTGGATATTTGCTTGCTGACAGGGCAGAAATGTTCATATTCTGCTAATTATTATATTTGTATTTGATATCAGGTTTTAATACATATCAATTGCCAAGTTGGAGATTAAATTATAGAACTCTGTCATACTAAGTTCACAGGAGGAGGGGGATTTGTAATAACCAATTGTGATGATATCCATTACTCTTATGAGACCAATTTGTAAATGATCTGGCACTGAAGAGTTTAGCTACTTGCAGTTATAATGGAGATATTCTGGCTTCAATACTAAATGAGCAGGATAATAACTATTTGTGAGTTAAATGGTTAAGACAGATATCCTGGTGGAATTAAATACCCTTGGATAAGAGAGCACAAGGCAGTAACATTTTGTTAAATGTAAGTATTGGTGGATGAGCCGTTGAAAATATATCAACTCTATCATAACAGAAAAATGGATTTTTCTGTTTTACTTTTTATTAACCTTTCCAGTGGAGTCCAGAGTTTTCCATCTAGTGATTAAAAATATATGCAGCAAGACTTTTTCCTTTAGACAGAAAAACAGCAAAGATATTATTACAAGGTGCAGCATGCTGTGTCTGTAAGTAACAGCTTGTGTGAAAATTACAGTCATAAGAGTGCAATTGTAAATAATTTTTATTTCTATTTAATTTAAATTAAATCTACTTCAGAATATATGTGGTATAGTGGGTTGCCAAGGGCACTAGTAGAGTTTTTGCCTCTCTTTTCTGCAGACCTTTTGTTAGAATGAAAGGAGTGCTTTCTAGCATCACCATTATGAACAATTTAATTTTCAAAACATATTGAAAAAATTATCAATAGCACAGAAAAGGCTTTATAATTTTTGGCAAATATGTTTACTTCCCTGTCTTATTATCTTACCATCTGATCCATAAATCAGACACATAGGAATGATCTAAGCCCAATTCTGTTACTACCTAGTTGGAAAAATTTCAAGGATATATATTGTACAATACAGGCAATTTTGGTTAACTAGAAATATAATGATCTGAAATTATTTGACAGTTTATCTGAATTTGGTTGTTGATGTTTGATTTGGAAGGGACTTTAAAGGTCATCCAGTTCTAACCCCCCTGCCATGGGCAGGGAACAATTTTCACTACAGCTGGATACTCAAAATCTCATCCAACATGACCTTGAACACTTCCAGGGTTCTTAGTGGAAACCACAGAATCCACACCACAAAACATTTTTATGAACATTCCACACATAGTACAAGCTTTAGTCCAGAGCTCACATATTTCCAGAAAATCTAACTTCAGGACACATTTATAAGAGGATAAACATCGTTAGTGTCATCAGTCATTCTTCTCTGCTTATTATGTTTCTTTAATTTGTCTTTTTTCATGGTAAGTCTGAAGGCAGTAAAAGTGACTGGTTTAAAGTAACTTGAGCCACAATTTTCTTTATAACAAAATGCAATGCTTTCCTGTTAGATGCTGGCACAGGGAAGATAACACGCAAAAAATTCTTGGTCTGTGATGCTTTTCTCTCGAATGATAATCAAAGTTTTTCTTTATTGTGTAAACTCCTTATTAAGATTCTGTCATTGGCTGGCAGAATTAAAATAATTCCCTTCTGTCTGACATGTCCTGATCCACTGCCTGATGAACTAAAAGAAACTCATAATTAATTATTGTAGAACAAGAATCCTAGATCCTTATTCTCATCAGCTAAGCCTTCTGTTTTTGCCTTGGCTCAAATCCCAGCTAGAAATTTATGATTCCTTAGCTTCTTTATGTAGGTGCCATGAATCATAGAGGCTTATGAGTGAAGAAATACTGGGATGGTGTTCCTGTATGGGTTAGTACTTGATGTATTTCTACAGCTAATCCCCAGTAGAAAAGCTACTGAAGATATGTACATAAAAAAACCAACTGTCACCCCTGCTTGATGTCATTCTTCAGAGGTGTTTCATGCCTCCTGCACATGTCCATGTTTGAACTAATTCCACACTGCACATGATCTGCACAGTAATGTTGCTGTTTTGGTAAATAGTAACTGCAGAACGGCAGAAATAAAACAGCAATGTGGTCTCCTCTCAAGACAGCAAAGGGACACTTTATTGTAACACTGCCTTCCTTAAGTACACTCACTAGCTAACCCAAGAACAGGACACAGCTCATTGGTCAGAGCAAGCAATACATCTTGCAAGATGTTCGTACTGTAAACAGTACAATTTCTCACAGTACACATTCTGTAAATAATAGCAGGTGCATCTTTGTTTGAGATTCTTTCCTTTCTATTTTTCTGCGAGCTTATGAGAAAGCTTGGACTTCTCAGGCAGTCCATGGGAAAGCTTTCCTGTTTCCACACTTTCCCAGTCTGTGCATCCACAGAGTAAGGCCCATCAACACAAATATCTGACATAGGGGAATCTCATTTCCAGAGCTGCTGAATGTAATGCTACTCATGAATAACTTTTTCAACATTTAAAACAACAAGAAAAAAACCACAGGCTATAGAAAATGAGTCATCAGAATGAATAAGTGTCAACTAAGATAATCTTTTCCAAATGCAATTCAGTGACAGAATAAGTTAGTTAATTAGGTATACAAAATTTCCACCAATTGTAGTAAAAACTCAGATAAGAACTTTCAGAAGCCTGTGGGAATATTCGCGAAGATTTCTGCTAAGTGAACATCCTGATCTAAGAAAAAATGTCTGACAGTATTGTTGTTCTTCCTGAAAGCCTTTTGCATCCTGTAGGCTGCTGAAGAGGTGGCTAATCCTTCACTTAATTTATCTGGTTTATCTGGTAGCCCTGTGACCCTTTACAAATATTAAATTATTTTCAGAACAAAATGAAATGTATTTCTTTATGTGGAAAGAATATGATAATATATCCATAAGGAAAAAAGAGTGCTATTAAAGATTATTTTATTTATTTGTATATATTATTACAGACCCTGTCACCATCTCTTACTGGTTACCCAACACTTAAAAATACTATTTGGTTACCCAAATACTTTATAAATAATAAAACAATTACTTTCGCATGAGGTAGCAAATGATAATGTATTTCCTTGGTAAATTGTAAGAGAAATTATTCAACAGAATGAATATGATAAAGGCTACGGAGATACTAGTTAAATTTTAGTATGCTATGGTTTTGTCCCTAGAACAGTGAATGATGAGACATAATTATATCTCAAAAAATCCTATATCCTTTTCTGGAAAACACAAAACCTTTTGCTCAGAAAAGCTGCTGTGATAGTGAAAGCTATTGCTAGTATCGTACAAGAGAGAATAGCATCAGTGCTATAATTTTCATTGCCAATGTATCACTCTGTTTAGATCTGTTTAATTCAGTGTGTTCTCTCACTAGGAGAAGGGACGGGGTAAATGAGAGTGATTCTATTACAAAAATTTAGGCAGCCTAGGTCCACAACATATTTTGGCATTAAGAATGAGGACTCAGAAGTCTCTTGAGGACATGTTTTGTCCTAATGGGAAGTTCTTATTTTATTTAGTTCAGATAATAGAACAATATATTTAAATAATAAACATGAGCTATATGCTCAAAATGGTAACTATCTGTTCAGCTATTAAGGGAATCCAATTTTGAAAAACAAACTAAATCATAAATGTCACAATATTGAGCTAATATGTTTAGGTATTTCTGCAAGTTTATTTAGTCCCCCACACAACATATAAGCCAATACAAATTTTAAATATATTAAATCTGTGCTAGCTGTTATAATACAAGAGAAAAATGCAATAGTGAACCAATATTTAATGCATGTACTCACAGTGAAACGTTCAGGAATTGGTTTCGGGACCTATGCTCTCTGATATTTTTAGTAATAATATACTGAAAAACACCAACTCATTGTCAACTAAGTTTGATTTGAAACAAGGACTGGGGGAGCACTAAAAGGGTAGGTGATTCTAAGCATTCAAATTTCATTTAATAATAAGTGAAAAAGAAAAAATAAATATTTTATTGCAATGAAGCTAATGCCTATCCATTATGTGACAAAAATAGTGTGGCTGTAGGCAAAAGTTAGGTGACTCCATGTGGCTGGATAGAGTTGGCAAAAACATTCTACAGTCCAAATTAGGAAGGAAAACTTTTCCAACTGTAATGTTTTATAGAATAAAACTCCCAAGATGTTAGTGCTCTTCCTCAGAAAGAAAGGCAGAGATTGAGAATGAAGCATCTGAGTCACATTACTATCAAGTTGTAGCAAGAAAGGTAGAAAGGTGGAAAGAATGGGTAGGGCACACAGCAGCAAAGGATACTAGGATCCTTTTATACATAGGATCACAGAATGGCTTGGGTTAGAAAAAACCTTAAAAACCATATAGCTCCAATCCCCCTGCTGTGGGCAGGGACAACTTCCCCTAGGCCAGATTGCTCAGATCCCCATCCAACCTGGCCTTGAACACTTCTAGCGATGGGGCACCCACAACTTCTTTGGGAAACATGTTACAGAGCCTCTCCACACCCAGAGAGAAGAATCTCTTCCTTATACATGATTTAAACCTACTCTCCTTCAGCTTGAAGCCATTCCCTGTTGTCCTGTCACTACATGCTCTTGGATAAAGTCTCTCTCCATCTTTCCTATAAGCTCCCTTCAGGTTCTGGAAGGCTGCAATTACTTCACCCTTAAACCTTCCCTTTCTCCAGGCCAAACAATTCCAGTTGTCTCAACCTTTCCTCACAGCAGAGGTTCTCCATCTGTCTAGAAATCTTGGTGGCCTCCTCTGGACTCAGTCCAGCAGGTTGGTGTCCTCCCTCTGCTGGGGACCCCAGAGATGCAGCTCTGCAGGTGAGGTGTCACCAGAGCAGAGGGACAGAATCACTTCCCTCTCCCTGCTGCCCACGCTGCTTTGGATTCAGCCCAGGACACAGTTGGCTTTCTGTGCTTTTCTGTGCAAATGCACATTGCTAGGTCATGTCTGGCCTCTCATCCATCAGCACCTTCATCCACCAGCATCCACCAGCCCCTTTTCAGCCTGACTGACACGGCTTTTTGAACATCATAGAAAGTAATTTGACATCTACATATAGCCAATTCCCTCAGGATTCTGGGATGCATCTCGTGATGTCCAACAGACTGATTGTTTTGTTTTGTTATGTTTCTTCAGAGACTAACCAGAATAAAAGCAATTAAACACTGAAAAAGTAGAAATTACTCCTAAGGTAAAAATTAGGCTCTGAGCATTTGTATCACCTGGTTCCTTAGCCCATCTAAGGGTTATCATTCAAATTACTTCTATGGAATATTTCATTATTCAGTTTCTTTGCTGACTACACACAACATGCATTTCTTACACTCATGTAACACTGTTCTCTAATTTGCTTTAAAAGCTCAGTGTTGTCTCACCAATAATACTAACTGTAGAAATACATCTGATTTCTAAATAGCTGATTTGTTTAGGGCCCTTATCAGCAGTGGCCAAGAGCATCTTCCCTATATTTTTTATTGTTTTTTAACCCACTACTTGTATTTCAAAAATAGTTCAATAGCCCAGTTTTATTTGAAGAAAATGACAGAAATGTAACACTTCCATCTTGCTGACAGTAACGTAAGTCTTTGCTAAGAAAACAGTATCCAGTTCCACCATTATTCCAGACTAAATAAAATATTTCACTGCTCTTCACAGAGATCTGGAACACTAGTTTTCCTGGGATAATTTGCTTCAGGCAAGTTGCTGTATAAAATTGTTTGCCACTTGTCTGAGCATATGCCTATTTATATTTGCTTTGGGTAATTCAATGCCTTTGCACTTTCAGCTCTTGACCTTATCTTTGAAAGTGCCTACAAAGATGACAGCTTGGCAGAGTTTTGTATGTATGTTTAATAGAAATTGGAATAAGGTCAACAATTTCTTTTATGTAGTCCATCAATTGTTCTTGTAGAAGTAGTGGTCATAATCAGAATTCTGACTAAGTAGGTAATTTCAATTGAAGTGAGATTTTTTCCAGAATTATCATTCACTTTTGGTTTGCTTATACCTCACACATTTTATTTTAACATCAAGTAAATCCATAATTTTTGAAATTCTTGCCAAGGTGAAAAGAGCTTGGTTCTTCCTTAAAGACTATTTGAAACTCCTACGTACATCTTTTCCCCAAAACATCTGTGAAGAATAGAAAGTAGTTTAGATTTTGGGCTCTCTCAAAATACATTTTAACAAAGATTTAGAGGTTACAAAATTGATTTGCTATGATTTAGGACAAATGAGTGAATTTCATCTGGTTCTCTCCTGACATATAAATACATCAGAGTACTCTTTATACTACTTTGAAAGAAGACATCAATTGTGTGATATTCACCCTGTAGCAGACCCAACACTTGTTGCATTTCCTAAAAGTCTGACAAATCAAGTGCTTCCCACAGGCTGCCACTGCCTTCAGCTGCCAGGTCCAAACCAGTTGAAGCAGCCCACTCAGGAAGCCTCAGATCCCTGTGGTTCTCACAGGCAACACTGGCATCTTCCTTGGGAGGGCAGTTGGTGCAGGTGTTTGCTATAATAAGAATCAAATCAGAGGTTTATCCCTACTGTAAAAAGATAGTCACTCGATCCCATGCTAAAAGAATGAAAAACCAAACTGTCTATTCTCAAATTTTTGTCTAAGGCAAATGGGAAGTAAGTCTGTACTTGAGAACAGATACGAATTTGAACTCAATATAAGGTGAATACACTGGATGACAAGAATATGATTTTCATCCTCACAGGGAAGGAGTTCATTCATTTATATTACCTTCATTCATTTATATTACATTCATTCATTTATATTCCTCTTTCAGTTTTTGTGTATTCTCCTTTGCTGGAGGACCCCCTAGAGTCCTTACAATGAACAGAGCTTCCATTAGAGTCTGCCAGGCTCTGCACAGCTCTGTAGAGTATGAAACGTTAATTTCATTTTTAAAATGTCCAATCCACATCTCAGAGTTGGGACAGATCTTTTATTAGTTGTATATTATAGTATATTGAATAAATAGCTGCTTCATTTAAATCAAATTATATAAACTTATTTTAACCAATCTATGCCACTGGAGCCAAACTATTGCTTCTCTACCGCATTATGATTAGATGCCAAGACCACAGTATAAGTGAGACATGAATTAAAACCCACTAAACCCACTTGGCTCCTGCTCTGCCTATAAAGCCAGTATTTCTTCTTATGCAACATTAATTTAACTCTATTACTGAAATAAGACAGAAACCTTTGACTTTCAAGTTTGTCTCATATGTATTTTAATTTTTAAAAAACAGTTA